CGGCTTCTTCGTTTCCTCAGCAACGTTAGTATCTAAACTTTCCTGAAAACGTAAATTTTCCATTTTTTCTAGCAAAAAAAGCCATGTAGCCCTCTTGTACTTATAATTAACGTTTCTTCTTGGTCACAAATATTTAAACACTCCTACAACGAGAACTTATACCACATCTTCTATAGACATCTCTTCTGAAGACGCACAAGAAAACTGTCAATATTCGAATTGAAGGACATTCTGTAGCAATAAGAGAGGATGCAAAACATCTACTATTTCTTCCCGAGAAAAACAAAGTAGCGACCAGCACGCTGATCACCAAGTGATGCAGCCTTAGTTCAAGCAGTTCCGGAAAAACTACAAAAACTATCAGTGGTACCGAACATAGTGATATCTTGGGAAAAACTTTCTCTAATAGGAATGTAATACGATCATCAATGACAGTAGGAACTGTGTATGAAATTAATTATGAAGGAATATTCAAAAAAAAAAAAAGCAAAACAATGCCGCACTTCCCTCCCCTCCCTCTCCCCTCACCCAAAGGGGAACCTCCACTGGCATACAATGACACTAAAACTTCTTGTTCACCAAATAAACGGAAAGCAAAATTATGACTTAAAAATACCTACAATGTTCACTTTGGAGAGGTATACAGGTCGAACAGTGTTCTCAATCAACGCCATTGCACTTTCACAGTACGGACGAATATCATTTTGAAGAACTGCAACAGAAAGATGAAGAAAAACGACAAAACTTCTATGTCTCTTTTCGCTTCTTCTAATTTTTTTTGCTCAAGATCTCATCAAAATTTTAATTTCAATTTTAATTATTATCCTATCGCTTAGAAGAAAAGATCTCGATAAACGTATAAATCTATCCTCCTAACTCGGGAAGGTATCCTATCGTAACTCAGGATTAGAAACCTATGGGACAAAGTGGTTATGCTCAAAAAACACCAAGAATTATCTCAAAATGGCTAAAGTCTTGCTACGTGCTTCTGCTTGAACAGTCGAGCTGATAAAATCACCGGAAAACGAAACGAACGTTAGGATCACCAGCAAGCTGTCCATCAGGCGATGCAGCATTGGTCAAACCAAGTGAAAAGGCTATCAGCTGCACAGGTGGTGAGATTCAGACTATGAATTAGTTGCTATTCCACGTAACATAGATATTTAGCTATTCTTAATCTCAATATAACAATACACATCTATCTTCTGAATATAAGGTTTTACTGTCATATACGAAATACCACTAACCAAAGACATTTGGCACCAAATTCGCCAGTGATTTATTTTCCGAGCCACCCGGAAAAACACCAATTGGCACTGCTGCGGCATCATTTTTGCTGTAAATTGCTGTTAAGGCAGCACTAAGTGCACTATCGTCGCCAACAATGTACAGGGCATCGCATTCAGTTGTATCAATGTTTCCAGCAACTGCTTCGAACTGAGAACGATCGGTGGCCTAAAAATACCAGTTTAATCCGAGGAAAACGTTTTCTTCACTTTAGGGAACAAAAAAAAGTGGGGAAAAGGCTGTGTGTTGGAGCACTCTAGTAACATGGAATCGACAAATCGATCGTCCGGAAGGCGTTTTTATTGAAATAATTTAAAAAAATGATTTAGATGTATGCAAATTTGATTCACATTCACTGCTAGAGATATATGAATTTAGAATTCTAAACTTACAACTCTTTTTTCATCCCATAGATAAAAAAGTTCATAAAATCCTAGGTTTCTAGCTCTTAAAAAGTTCCAGCTTTCTAACTGAAAGATTTATGGCAAGCAAAGAACGAAAACACGCAAACGGAGAAACTTTTTAACATGGACTTTCGAATTTTCATACATGTAAAAAAAAAACATAAAAATGAGACGAAAACAAACCCGAATCAAATCGACTTTCAAACCAGCCAGATGTAGCAGTGGCAATGCATTTTTGCTAAAGCAATCGAAAGCGCTGCCACTTTTCGCATCCACCAGCACTGTTACTCGACGTAGACGCTCCGTTTCCGCCAGTGGCATATCACCAAATCGTTTCGCCTGTTGCGCATAAACAGCTCTGATGTCGCAATCCCTTGAAAAGGCTAATCATTGATTAGGATTTAGAAGAACAATCACCTCAAACAACCGATCAACGATAAGCATCTGACAGATAGACATATGTAACGTGTGAAGGACGGATGGAGGCCTACGCGACTGGAGGGGGTGTTCCTGTGAGGATGCGTAAAACACCCACTCAAACCAACAAACAACACTTTATTCAAAGAAAAAAAACACACACACACAAAAACG